TTTTTTTTTTTTTTTTTTTTTTTTTTTTTTTTTTTTTTTCTTGATTCTCTGAATTTTAAGGGCTCTGTGGAGATGAATCAATCCATTTAATCTCATGAATAAATTATAGATAGATGGCTACTTTGGTTGGTCTGTCTCTGATTTTAGACTGCTGAGTATTATTGGCCAATAGTGTATAAGGTTCCTTAGGAAAGAAGAACATTGGCTGCATGAGTGGGGTTGTGAGATCCTTCATCGGTTGGAGAGGGGAACAAAGTATTGCTTATAAGGGTGTGGAAACATCTCCCTAGTAGACAAGTTTTAAAAACCTTGAGGGGAAGCTTGGAAGGAAAAGCTCAAAGAGGACAATATCTACTAGTGGTGGGCTTGGGTTGTTACAAATGGTATTTGAGTGTGGAAACCTCTCCCTAGTAGACACGTTTTAAAAACCTGTAGGGAAAGCTTGGAAGGGAAAGCCCAAAGAGGACAATATCTACTAGTGGTGTGCTTGGGTTGTAACAAATGGTATTTGAGTTAGACATTGGGCAGTGTGTCAGCGAGAACACTGGACCTCCAAAGGGGGTGGATTGTGAGATCCCATATCGGTTGGAGAGGGGAACAAAGCATTCCATGTAAGGGTGGAAACCTCTCCATAGTAGACGCGTTTTAAAATCGTGAGGCTGATCGGGCCAAAACGAACAATATCTGCTAGCGGTGGGCTTGAACTGTTACAGGGGTTTTGCTTTGATTGAAAATCTTTTCTCGAATGCATGTTTTATTGTTTTCTTCACGTTGTATCATGTTACCCGGGGAAAAGAATACGATATGATTTGGTACCAAAATAGGGCTCTTGACATTGTTATTTACTCGAGGGGTGTTCTCTATACAGATTCTGGAATTCAAGAACGTGTAGCATAGAATTAAGAAGTCCGAGAATGAGATGTCTGTGTTTTAGAAAAATGCAAGATGCTCGAGTTAGACAGTATATAGGACATTCTGTTCGAGGGCTCTACGTTTTCACAGTAGAAAATTATGGATTTCGAAGAGATGATATGGTGTGAACAATAATGAACTGTACATCTCCAATTGGTCAAACCTTCATAATAGATGCTCTTAAAAGATTCACGAGCATATTTGTACATGATCTATTCTATAGGTTATACAGATGTGCCCCTCCAATTCTAAAGAATTTTCTGATAGAAATTCACCATCTACAGCTGTGTCCTCAAGTTCTAAAGAAAAAGTGTCCGCATTGTTTTTTGTGCTGAATACTTGTTAATGTGTGGTCCATGGTCCATGGAAACTTAACTTATATATTTAGACCATCTACAACGTTACGCACGTCCCTGAGCCGATTCTTAGGAATCGACAAATATTGAACTATCTATTGTTCT